CCATTTATTAAATCCTGTCGGGCTAGTCTTCACTCTTCCTCCAGCTCTAAGTTCCACCCCATATATTTTTTCAGCTACAAAGTCCTCTTCGTACTTCAATGGGCAGAACTTGTCAGAATGCCCAATAATACCACAAATAAAGCAAAAGCTGGGTAGTTTTTCATATTTAAAATCTACCCAATGTTTCACCCCATCCTGTGATAAATTGATACCTTTTTTCAATGGTTGACGGAATCCAAACACACTCGTATTCGCAAATAAGAACTCTGCTTTCCATCAAAGTGGCCCATCTCAAATTTAATAAAAGAGCCTAAAAAGTTACCAATTTTCCTGGCAGATTTTAATTTCCTATATTTAATAGGAGAATTATGAACCTGTACCCAAAAGCTAGCCTCAAACAAGTTCATGGATTCCGGTATATCATCTGGTTGCACAGCCTTTAGCAAAATTAAATCACACTCAAAAAGCCAAGGACCATCCTCTATCACACGGTTCATATCCAAAACATGATTAAAGTTTAGCAGATACCTTCTTTCGCCGATCTCTTTGATAGTCACACCTTTTCCTGGTTTCCAGATAGAGGTCATTAGCTCTTTAAATCCAGGTAGTTTGACCTTACGGTCCGTGATAACAACCCCAACCACTGGAAAAGTCACCGGTTTTTTCTCCTCTTCGCTGTCGTCCTCTGGCTCCTCATCAAAGTTAAGCTCCGAATCCTGCTCCTTCATCGACATCTTCCTATATGAAGCCACTATATCCTCCATACAAGAACCTTCTTCGGCCTGCCCTTCGTACCGAAGGTCCTCGCTCTCAGTCCCGTCGAAGCCGCCTACCCTTCGTCTGGGGTCGCCGCCCTCTGCTTCGTCCAAGATTTCTTCCTTGCTAATCTGTACCCGATCCCCGGCCGAGAACCGAGATCGGAGATCCAAACCCTAGCGGCCGAGCCCTAGGAGTACTGAAGATTTAGAGAGAAGAAGGCTCTCGCTCCGGAAAAAAATCGTTTTTCTCTCATTAGCAGTTTCGTTCGTTAAATTTTTTAGATAAAAGAAAAGTACAGAGTATTATTTAAAGATTGATATGTTCATTTTCAACATAAAAAGATTGATACATTGAAATATTTCTCACACAAGTAAACTAGAACTAATGAAGCATCATATACAAATACAAAGGCATTGAACTACTCTTCCTATTCGGTTGAACTTTTAAAGATAAATCACGAATCTTTAACATATGACCATTATTATGAAGCAGTACTGAAATTTATAGGGAAAACTGTCAATTACACCCTCGTACTATGGGCGAAACCGCAATTGAGCCCTTCTACTTTGATAACCTTCAATTGAATCCGCCAAGTCTCCAAAATCAATCAATTAGGTCTACATTACCGGTTGGTTCCCGGTTAGCCCGTTGCTTGCCTTCCTGGCGCTGACGTGGACTTTGCCTATCGGTCTTTCAGTGCTGACTCACCTAAATCATTTTACTTCCACTATCCACACCGTGCCCTAACCTTCATTGACGACCTTAATTCGAAGCTCTGCGAGAAGATAAGCAACATAGCACTCCTCGACGCTGGTCATCCACTTCTCACCGTCCACGTGAAGAAGACAAACGCCAGGTTAGTTTATAGTTGTAAGTCCACCGTATTTACATGAGGTTGGATATTTGTGTTCGTATTTGTCGCATGAATGTTGCTATTGTGATGATATTATTACGTGAAGCGATAGTCATTTGCACTTTAGAAACGTTCGTTTGGGTCATTGTTCTTTATCTAATAAAAATTTACACATTCCCAAATCTGATTTCAATATTTTCATATGTACAGCATGTTTGACAAGGTTGAACTAATCATTCACCATGGAGGAAATTTAAGTATATTCCTGAGATAATATACGTAGGTGGTGAAGTTGATGTCTTACCAATTGACCCAGATTTGATTTGCTATCCTCATTTAATGAAGTGCCTAAAAACGGGTAGTTATGGTAACATTAAGGCTCTGTATTACAAAAAACCAAGGCAGAGTATGAAATCTTTAAGACAGTTGTGTGATGATAAGTCAACCCTTCATCTCATAGAGCAGGCTACTAGTTGTGGACAGTGTGACATATTTGTGGAACATGGCTTAGATGAGGTGGAATTGGTTGAACTTCTGCCTGCACCTGAGGCATCTCAACCTGAAGTTGATGTGACTAGAGTGGAGCCCCCAATTGATGGTACAAACAAAGACCATGTTCCTGAAGATGAGCCTGGAGCAAGTGAACATCAACAAACAGGTGCCCATATTCATGAAGATGTTGTTGTTGAAGATGAGGAGTCCAATGTCAGTTCAGATGAATCATGGAAGGCATATGAAGGTCAGACACATGAATCATGGATGTCAGAAGACTCTGAGGCAGATGAGTCATGGATGGAAGAAGAATCTGAGACAGAAAAAGCTGCATCAACTGACCATCAAGAGAGAGATGAGGATGAGGTCAATGAAGATATACTGGGCTCTGAACACATACCTACACAACAGGGGGCAAACACGTGTAATGATAGTGAGAATGAGGAGAACAGTACAGAGTATGATTCATCTAATCCTCGCAGCTACATGTCTGAGGTTGAGGATGAGGATGATTCTGGGAGGTGTAAAAGGTCAGACAACAGGTATGCTTCATTTAATCCTGAATCAGAGCCCCCAAGTTTTGATGTTGGCATGTTGTTTGAAGATGGAAAGCAATTTAAGAAGGCAGTCATTAAATATGCTGTGTTTGAAAAAAGAGATTTGTATTTCAACAAAAATGAGCCTGAGAGAGTGAGAGTGAAATGTGGGAAAACTTGCCCTTTTTCTTTAACAGCTTCATGGGTGGAGAGATTGAAGTGTTATCAGGTCAAAGTTTTCAAAGAAGGACATAGCTGCAATCTGAGGTATAAGCTGAGAATAGTGTGCACCAAATGGGTAGCTGACATGTATGAGGAGAAAGTGGTTGAGAATCCATCAATGGGTGTTTTTTAAAAGGACAAATGAAGGGAGAGATATTGAGTGCTGTAGGTAGAGATGCAAATAACCAAATGTATCCAATCGCATGGGCTGTGGTTGAGATAGAAAATACCTCATCTTGGACTTGGTTCTTGGAGTTGCTGCATAATGACTTGGATGTTAATGCCCCAGATGAGTGGACCTTCATCAGTGATCAACAGAAGGTTAAGTATCTTCATAACTGCTTACATGTTGTCCATTAATGTATATGATATGACTTGGTTAATATTTTTTTTGTAGGGCCTGGCTAATGCAATTACCAGAGTCTTCCCTAACTCTGAGCACAGGAACTGTGCACGCCATATTCATGGTAATTGGAGCAAAGCACATCGAGGGATGAATCTGAAGAAGTTGTTTTGGCAGTGTGTGAAGTCAACATGTGAACCTCAGTTGGAAGCTAATTTAGCTGAGCTAGATAAGGCTGATGCTCAAGCAGGTATTGACTTACGCAAACACCCATTCAAGTTATGGTGTAAAGCTTTCTTTAGGGATGCAGTGAAGTGTGACACAGTTGAGAACAACCTGTCTGAGGCCTTCATAGCACACTTCTAAAAGCAAGATCCAAGCCTTTGATCCCAATGCTTGAGGACATTCGTGTTGCAACAATGAAAAGGATAGCCAAGAAGAGAAAATATGTTCTGAAATGGCCAGGTCTGGTTACACAGTAATATGTACTATTGATTATTGTATTTGATTATCAAATCTTATTAAGCATTTTTGTTTTCCAAATCTTATGCAGGTTCATTTGGTCCAATAATAATGAAGAAGCTGAATATTAATATTCTAGCAAGTCAAGGATGGAATGTGGATTTCAATGGTGATGATGGATATGAAATCAAGAAAGGAAGAGGGCAATTCAAAGTCAGTCTTAAGAAGAGATCATGTTCTTGTAGAAGGTGGGATCTCAGTGGTATCCCTTGTGCCCATGCCATTTGTGCCATCTATGACAAGGGGGAGGAGGCAGAAGCATACGTTGACAACTGTTACAGTAAGGAGATGTACCATAAAACTTACTCCTACACATTGCATCCTATCAATGGGGAGCTGTTATGGCCTAGAACCCAGCATGAAGAGATCTTACCTCCTTTGCCAAAGAAGATGAGTGGCAGACCCAAAAAGAAGCGTGTAAGGGAACAAAGTGAAGCACGTCCACCCAGTTCTTCACAACTCTCAAGAAAAGGGCGCATCATGACTTGCTCATTGTGCGGAGGAGAAGGCCACAACAAGAAATCATGTTCTACTACTGCAGGTACAGTGACTCCAAGTGCAAGAGGCAGACGCCCAAGAGGAGGAAGAGGGAAGAGGGGCAATACAAGCAGAAGGCAATCAGGGTTTGGTGTGTATGTCGATGAAGCTACTGGTGAAACCATTCTGGAAGTAAGTTCACACCTGACTTGTATGTTTAAGTCATTTCAATTTGTGCCAATGATGTTTTCTCATTTTGCTTTGTATGTTATATGCAGCCTGGCCAGCCTGGAGAGACAATGATTGGAGAACAAGAGGAGGGATTGCTTTAATGAACATTTATGGAAGTAGTTTTTTGTCATTAGGTGGATGTAATGATAATGTACTATATTGGGATTGCTTTTGGTGTATGGATGTATGGTCGAGGTTCAAACTACCTTTTTTTGTGATGACCATTGATGGGGTCATTTATTGCATTATTGTAGTTCAACGGGTACTATCATACTATGCATTATTGCTGAAGAAATATTGCTTTTGAAGTATTGGCAGTAATATATGTCAGTTGCTCTTGAATTTCATGGGTGTACTACACCTTATTGTCCATACTTGAATGTCAGTTGTATATGAAATAATAGATGATCTTATCTTTGTGGTTTTAAGTGTATATTTTGAAGTTTTAATAGTACACATATTCTAAGTGTATACAGGTATATGAAATGCCACACAACATACACAATGAATACATTTCAGGAATCTAGATTCTTGACAATACAAAAGTACCTAAGATGAAAACGTGTGGAAAACTTATTCAAACATAGATACCATATGACACTACATTCCACTTTCTATGACAATAAACTGGTGGTGAACTTTTTCAAACATAGATACCATTACATCCAAGACAATTCAACTATGATAGCTTGAATACATATTTGTTGCAAAGCACAGAAATACAGCCAACCCTATGACAACGAGCTTCCTGCACCTCTTTCTGGCCTTAACCTCATTCTCAAGAACGGTTTTTATAGTGTTTACATCTGCTTGAACATAGCTTAAGCGTTGGACAGCACCTTCAACCATGGTCTTTACTTCATCAAACTTATCTCTCTTTTGGCCAGGCCTGATCATGTCTTCTCTTCCTATGTCATCCTTCCACAAGAAGTAGCCACACCCTTCTCCCTGTTGACAATACAAACACACCTATTATCACACGAACAGGTTCTTCAAATTCAAAATCACTACCAATACAAGATTTGTTCGAAACATAACCTGCACAACCTACAGTATTATATATGCACTACCAATACGAACAACCTACATAACCTGCACAACCTACATAACCACAACAAATGAAAAAATGTAAATTCTTTCGACGTTTTACCAGCCAATTTTGACACCCATAGAATTGTCTTCCGCTCTCCCTTCCCACGCACAGAGGCGCTTTCAATCCACACCAACAGTACACTGCAGGCTCGTAATTTGTAGTGCTTCTTCGCTCTTTTGTACTCGTTGCTGTAGACGAGGAGGCCATTGTTGGTCACGAGGTCGACGGTGAGAAGTGGATGACTATGTCGAGGAGTGCTATGTCGCAGAGCTTCGAATTAAGGTCGTCAATTAGGGCACGGTGTGGTGTTGATTGGGGGTGGATAGTGGAAGTAAAATGATTTAGGTGAGTCAGCACTGAAAGACCGATAGGCAAAGTCCACGTCAGCGCCAGGAAGGCAAGCAACGGGCTAACCGGGAACCAACCGGTAATGTAGACCTAATTGATTGATTTTGGAGATTTGGCGGATTCAATTCAAGGTTATCAAAGTAGAAGGGCTCAATTGCGGTTTCGCCCATAGTACGAGGGTGTAATTGACAGTTTTCCCAAATTTATATATTTTTCATGATGATCAAAGATAACTATACAAAATTTTAGAACTTTGAATTTTATTAATTGCTTCATGAACACGCTCCAGAATATATGTATATATATACATAGTTTAATTATATACGTACGTAGTACAATATATGTATTATAAAATTGAATGCGAAAGTAGATGCACTGCTTCATGTTAGCTGAAAGGTGAAGAAAGGAATATACAGCAGTGTAGCTGAAGCCATTGACCAATTGTCTGTGTGCTTAGATCGATCAGATGGAGTTGTTGGTGGGGTTGGATTTGGCGCAGATTGTTCTTTACAATACCTTGATTGTGTTTCAATTATCATCCACACACTTTATTTGCAAGATTTGATTCCAACATCAAATTAACTTATGAATATTCAACTTATGAATATTCAACTTAGATGTTGTAGAGACTTCGCATGTTCATTGATATAGTATTTGGATGAGGATTGTCAGATTTAGTGTATCTCACCTTACTTTTAGGCCCGTTTGATAAGACTCAAATCGGCTGAATCGACTGAATGTGCTAAAATTTATGAAGTTTTAGCTTAAGTGACTGTATTGTCGATTCTGCTGATTTATGAAATAATTATATTTAAAATATATTTTCAATAAAATAAAAAAATAATTAAATGAAAAAATAGTTAAAACGGTCACCTACAGTGAGTTCAACCTTACTTTTTCTTATTATTATACAATTCAACACCCGAAATAAAAATTTCATGTGTAATTAAAAAGTTGGACGATAAGCCTGATTAGCCGTGAAACAGAGTCACCAAACAGACTATACTGAGTATGTTTTTCATAAAAAACATTCTTACTTCTCATTAAAATTGTTTTTTTTTTCAAAAATTCCTAAAATAAAAAGTAAAGTCATTTAGGCAATTTCATAATAAGACTGTCACATTCTTATTCATCAAGACTTACTGTCAAATTAATATCATGTTTAATGTGTGGTAATGCCAATCCATTACGCTAGTTACTCATATTTAGAAAATAAAAGTATAATACAATGTTTTCTATATGACTTAATTGTAACTCATGCAATATTTGTTATACCTATAAGACTAAGGATGTTTTTACTTGGACTGTAATTCGTCCCAGACCAGACCAGACCAGACCAAACCAGACCAGACCAGTTCAGACCAGACCAGATCAGATCAGACTTGGATAGTTATAAAAATACAAAGAAACTAGACCAAACCAGACCAGACCAGTTCAGACCAGACCATACCAGACCAGATCAGACCAGACCAGACCAGACCAGACCAGCAAATTACAGTCCAAGTAAAAACATCCTAACATTTAAGACAAATATATATTTACGGGGGTTAAGTTTTAAACTTCTATAACATTAAGTATATACATTTAATGCATAGTTACCTTAATTCCATATTCATAATAACATTACAATAATGTATTATTAAATATGAATCACTTGGTGGTTAAACATTTTAATAATATTTAGCAACTCAAACCATCATTCATATAAGTGAGCTTATATTCATATAAATTGAACAAATATTGTTTGATAATATTAGTTATAAATTGAGAAAAAGCATTATAATTAAGCATGTTGAATTGATATATAAATAGAAATAAATTAAAAATAGAATGGGACAACAAGTACTTTAGTAGAGGCCTTAAGAGCATCTTCAATGCTCCCCCCCTTTCAACATTAATAAATCATTGACACATGTCAAAAAATGTATGGAATGTCAAGCCACATCAGGCAAATGTGGAAGCATTATAAATTGAAAGTGTAAAACCTTCTCCAGCCCATAACGTCAAACTATAACTGTATTTCTTATGTGACATTTATTAAATACAAATTAAATAGAATGAAATTTAACAGAAAGAAGATTCCCGATCGGAAAAATAGTCTGCTATTTTCCTGCTCGACTTCAACCGCTCCTCTCTGGCATAATTACATCTTTCAAAATCAATTCTTCTAATTTGCAAATCGGAATCCTTCAAGAGATGTTCACAACAAATTCACACCGTAAGTTATTTGTTTACATGATCTCAATCAAACTGAAAATCATGGCATAGAAAATTGACTTAATGATTTGTGATTTGTGAAAGCTATTCCATGGATTACCTTTCTTGTCTCTTGGGTTGCAACTTGCAAGACTTCTACCGCACCACTACCATCTTGAGTAGGAGTAACGGAGATATATAGGGAATATGTGTGGAATAATATCCGCATATATATTGCTGATTTGCCAGCGTTTACACAAAGCCGCACCACTGTTTTCACCCAAATTCTGATTTGAATGTCCAGATTTTACGTGATACATTTCAAATAGCTGACTCAGCCAGTGTAAATGGCTTTGTAAAATCAGAAAGTGGGGTTGACACTTTCTTCAACACCTACGCACGACTGCAACACATACAGACCGCATTGGAGAAGTTTTTTTCATACGACTTTTTAATTTGATGATGTGGCATAAAACTATTAGTATCGAAAGTGGAGCATTGGAGATGCTCTAAGTTGAGACAGAAGAGTGTGGCGCGTTCTTGTTCATCTAAACAACCACATTAAATTCAAAAATATTGGCAATTTATGATATGAAAATAATGATAATATGAAAATAATTTCTTAATGCGCGTGTAAGTTGTAATGTCTTCCATGCATCGTTTTAAGAACTTAAAATATTATTTTACTTAAAAAAGTAGAAGAATAAGAGTATATTATTGGGGCATTACTTTCACGCATGGCACGTATAGAAATCTAGTAATCTTAATATATATTGATCGAGATGACAACCCAAAATGGATATATCATATATGTAATTTTTAATTTAAGAGAGGGTGTAGCTTTTTGTCCACTAGATTCAAGTTAAAAATGACCAAGAACATAAATAGTTGGAAAAATTGACATTAATAATCCCAACTATTAGCGGTCCGCTCATAATAATCCCAACTATGGATTATTTTAGAATAATCCCAATTTTAGGGACCTTCTGCCAACAGAGGCGGCTTGAGCATTTTGGAGGCCCCAACGAAAAATATTTACTATGTACAAATCACTTTTAAAATCAGATAAATTGAATAAGAATCGCCTCATGAAAAAAAGCATATTCAAAGTCCACGATATAATGTTTGTAATATTCAAAAGGATAAATTTTAAAATGCAAACTTATTCAAAACACAAGGCAAACTTGTACTTGTAAAAGTATTAAGAGACTTCAAGAAAGAGACTCAGAGAGAAGAGCTGAAGAGTCTTAGTTGATTCACTAACCAAGGACCCATGTTGATTAGGAGCATTGTATATCAGTGAGGTGTTAAAGACAAAGTTTTGAAGACAAAAGAGCTCTAGAATTGGCTACGGGATCAAAAGAAGACAAATAGAGCTTGAAAACAACGGTCAGGATGACGTTCTGTCAATCGTTCAAGCATATCATTTCTTAGGAACATCCAAAAAACATGATTCAAGTTTCATATGAACACCAACTTCAAGGGCTACAAATCATATGAAGACACCATTGTGAGAATCGGAAAGAAGCAAGGTGAAAACAGACGATGAAGTCAGACAATCTCTGTTGAGAGTTCAGAATGCGACCTCTCACCATTTTATTCATATATTTTTATTGGATGATTCAAATCCTGTTTTGCAAATTGTTTTGGATAGAAGACTTCATTAGCTACAACTTTGATGAAGGACGAATAGTCAAAAGTGAACTATAAAGCTGATATCTGCTTGCACTTGTGGCTTGGTGTATTGGCGGTTTACGAATAACACCTAATACTAATACTGGAGTATAATTTTTTGGAGGCCCCCTTGGTAGTTGAGGCCCAAGGCAGTTGCCTGACCCAACTGCCCTCAAAGCCGCCCCTGTCTGCCAATAGTGGTCCCTATAAATAAATTCATGTAGTTTCTAAAGTGGATGAGGAGTGATATAACAAGTAACCCCTATAAATGATCTCAACTTTTAATTTTTACACTTAATTTCTATTTACAATTCACTTTTTAGAGGAGGTAATATATGATCATGGACCATTATTGGCGGACGATCCATATTGTTGAGATTATATAAAAATAATCAATAATTGAGATTATTATCAGTGGACCGGCAATAGTTGAGATTATTATTTTCAATTTTTCCTAAATAGTTCATTAAACGGTCTTCTTGTGAATCGCAGGCTATAAATGATACGAAGTATTTAATTTTTGATATTGATCTAAAACTTTTTAGATAAGTATTTTCCAAACAACTAGAAATAATGATTTTATAAAACTAAAATAAGGGTATTAAACAAAAACGTGATTTCTATACATAGTGAATATCGATTAGATTTATGATAATAACTTTTAGTAATTACGATTAGAGTGACGTTCGTGTCAGGTCGGCCTGTCAAGAACCTCCGTCCGGTCAAGCCTTTTTTAGCGCCTTCCGGTAAAATTTTTTGATAAATTTTTTTGAACATGTTTTTATCAAGTGTATGGGTAGAATGATCCGGTGAAGTGCTCGGATCGTGGCGACGTGGGTGGTTCGCTGCCTTCGACGTTGCGAGAAGTCCACTGAACCTTATCATTTAGAGGAAGGAGAAGTTGTAACAAGGTTTCGGTAGGAGCGAC